ACGCTTTGTAATCTTCATTTTTAGGTGTCTCTAGTGAAAAATATGCTCGTTGCGCTTCTCCTGTGAGAAACGGAGCCAACATTCTCGCCCAGTTTTCTTTTGGCCAGCCTTCTCTCTCGGCAATAACCTCAAAGGTATGTAAATAAGCGTCAATATCATCCAGGTCGCTGAGTTTAGTGAGATGATGATGCGCACTCACTTCGGGAGTCGGATGGTGTCTGGCCGCCTGGCGGAGCTGCTGTTCCAGTCGATCCTGTCTGGCTGTAAGCTGCTCAGAGATGGAATTCTGTTTCCTGGAGATCTCCACTAGGTGGAGCAGTACCTCTTCCACCGACATGGCGACGGGATGTTGACAGCCGAGTAAGAGGAAGCGTGGGAGAGAGAGAGAGCGGATGCCTGTCTGTAACAAACACAGAGAAAAATTCAGCGGTTATTTTCTACTTAATGGTGAGTGTTTCTTCTGAATTTTTCCCTCTGCAATGCCCGCATTCTCCACCAGTTGTAGCGAGGCAGAGGGAAAACACAAACACCGTAGATAATGTTACAAACAATGCCCCGGAGGGTGCCTTTATTTACAAGTGATATTGGGGTGAAAGGGTGCTCTTCTTAGAGGTGCGTGCTCAAGTGCTCCGGGGAGATGGTGAAGGCTGGTGAGATGTAGAGTGTTGGATCGGTCACGAGCTGGACTGTGGGAGAGACAGAGAGAGACAAGCGTTAGCGCAGGGAGTCATGTCAAATGAAGCTCACTTCCTTCTGTGTGGGGCTGGCTTATATCTCTCCCTGGCTGATGAGGTCCAGCTGTGAGCGATCCGAGGTTGATGAGAGATCCAGCTGGTGTGGATTTGTGCCCAGGGCGACGTGGTATTACATGGCTCGCTACAGTTAATACAGTATGGCGATACTATGTGGAATCATGATACTTCAGCTGGTATAGTACTGTAGCCTAAATTTATGGGATCATGACAACCCTAGTGTATGGGTGTTTCCTTGTATTGGGTTGCAGCTGGAGGGGCATTCGCTGTGTAAAAAACATATGCTAGAATAGTTGGCGGTTCATTCCGCTGTGGTGACCCTTGATAAATAAGGGACCAAGCCAATGAAAATTAATGAATGATATATACAAAGACTGAAGGAATCTGGAGGAGTTTCAGTGCGTAAAGGACACGAGCGCAAGCCTGAGCAGAGCAATCGTGACCTCCGACCCCTCAGGGGGCGCTGCATCAAGAGTCCTCATTCAACTATGAGCCAGATCAGCACATGGGCTCAGCACGACTGCGGCATCCACAAACGCCAGTCAAAACTTTACTATGCCAATAGGAAGCCCTATGTTAACAGTGTGCAGAAGGACCGTCCACTTCTGCCCGCAGTCCCGACCTGTCTCCAATAGAGAATGTGTGCTGCGTTATGAAGCACAGAATGAAGAGCCTGTACTGTTGCTTACCTTAAGACTTGTTTGCAGGTAGAATGGGGCAGAATGACCCTGAAACACTTCATCACTCGCTGTCTTCAGTCCCTAAACGCCTTTAAGTGTTGTGAAGAGGAACGGCAACATGACACTGATACAACCGTTTCTGAAATGTGTTGCAAGAACCAAAATCTGGAATATGAGTTTATTTATAAGAATAATGATCATGAGGAAGACGGGAAATGATGTCTGTTGTGTGGTCTGCACTGAAACTCATGTCAGAGTAAATCTCTGCTTATTTTATCTGTGTTCCCCACACTGTCAGCTCTGCCTGATTTGGGCTTGTGTGTGTGTGTGCGTGTGTGTGTGTGTATTCTGTTGTGTATTCTATTGTTAGCTGTAAGTTGAGCTGTCGTATGAGCCTTGTTGTGTGTTGTGTGTTGTTCCTCAGGTGTTTTCAGGTCAGTTCTTATCAGATAAAAAGATCGGCACGTATGTGGAAGTGGACATGTACGGCCTTCCCACCGACACCATCCGCAAAGAGTTCCGCACACGCATGGTGATGAACAACGGCCTGAACCCGTACTACAACGAGGAGCCCTTCGTCTTCCGCAAGGTACACACACACAAACACACACACACACATACTGTCGGGTTTGATCAGAGATCAATTATTAATTGATTATTGATTAATTATTGATTGATGAGTGATTGATGAGTTTGAGCATTTGGTGAGTGTTTGGTGAATCTCACATCATCTAAGATTGAGAGAGAGTTTTGTACAGAAATGGTGATGGTTTAGGAACTCCAGCACTGATACAGCAGCTGAGGATCTGCACACACACACACACACACACACACACACACACACAGTGAGGCTGAGATGTTGGTAATGTGCTGATGCAGCAGTGTTTGCGTCTCTCGGCCGTGACACTGACACCACAGACACAGACCATAAATCAGCACTGCCGCAGTGCCACTGCGCGCGCACACACAAACACACACAGGCACACACACATACACACACACATGCACAGACTAAATTGGTTTCATGATTCTTACTATTTTCACAGAGGATGATTCCCGCAGGCTGTGTTTTGTCTGTTACAGTGAGAACATTACACTTCTGTTGTGTTTATAAATGCACACACACACACACACACACACACACACACACACACACACACAAACTAGCAGCAAAGGCATCTTTACAAGAGAACAATGAAATCTGTATTTACCTGCATTATGTACACACACACACACAAACACACACAAATTCAAACAAAGAGACACACAAACACACACACACACACACATACAAACAGACACACACACAAACAAACAAACAGACACACACACACACACACATACAAACAGACACAAACACACACACACACACAGATTCAATTTGTTGCTGTGATTTTGTTGTCCAGTGCTGCTCTCACTAAGGTCCTGTACTGTGTGTGTATCAGTTGTGTGACAGTGCTGTATCCCATCATGCCTCAGTGTTTGAGCGATTGTTGATGTCTGTCTGTCTGTGCGTGTGTGTGCATGTGTGTGTGTGTGTGTGTGTGTGTGTGTGTGTGTGTGTGTGTGCGCGTGTGTGTGCGTGCGTGTGTGCGTGTGTATTTGCGTGCGTGCGTGTGTGTGTGTGCAGGTGATTCTGCCGGATCTGGCCGTGTTGCGGATCGCAGTGTTCGACGACAACAGTAAGCTGATTGGTCAGCGGCTCCTGCCTCTGGACGGCCTGCAGGCGGGATACAGACACATCTCACTGCGCAACGAGGGGAACAAACCGCTCTCACTGCCCACCGTGTTCTGCAACATCGTGCTCAAAACTTATGTGCCCGACGGCTTTGGCGGTGAGACACACACACACACATATGCTCAAACACACACACTCAAATACACACAAATACTCTTAACACACACTAAGGGTGGTTTATCAAGCCCACTCACCTGCGTGGAGCACACTCATGCATCATGGCGTTATGTGCTGCAGTGTGTGTGTGCGTCACTAAAGAGGCCGGTCTTTACTCTAGTGTTGAGCTGGGAGAGTGTGTCTGAGCCTCGGCATTATCAGGAAGACTATTCCAGAGTTCAGGAGCCATAAATGAGAAGACTCGACCTCCTTTAGTGGACTCTGCTGTTCTGGGAGTTTAGAGATCTTCAAGAGCGGGTTGGGTTGTAGCGAGACAGAAGCTGGGTCAGATAAACAGGAGCTGGGTTATGTACAGCTTTATAGGTAAGAAGCAATAATTGATGATCAATACGGAACTGAACAGCAGCCGGTGTCAGGAGGAGAACACTGGGGGGATGTGGACATATCTGCTGGAGCTGCTGAGAACTGCAGATTCACTGACTGAAGCTTATTAATAGAGGATGCTGGACCACCAGAGCATTACAGTCGTCTCATCTAGAGCTCATACAAGCATCAGCTCGCTTTACTGAGTCTGAGATGGAGAGCATTCTTCATAACTTAGCGATATCTCTCAGATGAAGGAAGACGGTTTCTGTGACATGAGAGATCTGATGTTCAGCTGCTGTCTAATATGACACCCAGATCTTTTATAATAGTGCTAACGCTAACTCTGTATCCTCTAATTGTAGATTGAGTTGTGAGATCTGCTGTGTACAGGATTTAGGCCCAATAAGTAATAATTCTGTTCTGTCTGAGTTTAAGGGAAGGAAATTGTTGGTCATCCAGTCTTGAACATCTCTAATACACTCAGTTAGTTTAGACAGTTCAGACGTCTCGTCAGGTTTAGTTGAAGTATATAATTGAGGATCATCTGCAGAGCAGTGAAAGCTGATCCCATGTCTTCTAATAATGTCTCCCAGTGGCAGCATGTAGATTGTAAACAGCAAAGAGCCTAAAACTGATCCTTGAGGCACCCCATACTGCACTGGGCAGACTGGTGGAGGCGTCCATTAATATTCACACACTGGTAACGGTCAGTTAAGTATGACCTTAACCATTGTAGAGCCTGTCTATGGACACCTGTGGAATATAAGCGGTTTATGAGGATATTGTGGTCAATGGTGTCAAATGCCGCACTGAGATCGAGTAAAACTAATAGCGAGACGCACCCTCGGTCAGCAGCTAAGAGTAAATCGTTGGTTATTTTCACTAAGGCGGTTTCTGTACTGTGGTGAGCCCTGAAACCTGACTGAAACACTTCAAAAATATTGTTCGTCTGCAGAAAAGAGCATAATTGAGTAGAAACAACTTTTTCTAGTATTTTAGACATAAATGGAAGATTTGAGATAGGCCTATAGTTAGCTCAGTTGTTGGTGTCTGGTTGCGGTTTCTTAATGATAGGCTTAATAACAGCTAGCTTGTAAGAGTTTGGAACATGGCCTATAGATAAAGAAGAGAATGAATCTGAAGTATGAGACACACGCTCACACACACACACACACACACACAACACACACACACACACACACACACACACACACACACACACACACACTCAAACGTGTGTGTGTGATCTTCTTATTGATCATCTATCAGTGATTATTGATCTTCATTGTGTGTTTGTGTTCTCCAGCCATCGTTGATGCACTGTCTGATCCAAAGAAGTTCCTCACCATCGCTGAGAAACGAGCAGATCAGATGAGGGCGCTCGGCATCGAGACGGTGTGTGTGCACACTGATGTGTGTTTGTGTGTACTGACGTGTCTGTGTGTGTACTGATATGTGTGTGTGTGGGTGTGTGTGTGCAGAGTGACATCGCAGACGTGCCCAATGAGAGCTCTAAGAGTGATAAGAAGAGTAAAGTGAGTCAGGTGAAGAGCAGCGTGACGCCGCAGAGCAGCGCAGAGACCAACAACACACACAACAACACCAACGACACCAGAGGTGGTGAGACACACACACTCTGCATACACACTACCCTAGTAGCAAAGAATTCTGGCCCAGATTTGGCATAAAGCTGGCACAGCAGGCATTCATCCGGCACTGGCACACAGCATGTGGGCCAAACATGGCCCGGGTTTGGCAGAGGTGGCACCGTCTTTAAGGCGGCACAAAAGATTTGGGCCAAATGAAAAACGTAGTATTTGGCCCAGATTTAAAAATTTGATAAGTGGGCCATGTGAGTTTGGCCAGTCTTGACCCACATTTAAAATACACTAAAATCATTTTTGAGTAAAGAAAAAAAATTCTACCAATCAGGTCACTTTGAGAAAAAGCGTGCCCATAGTGTGCCTAAAGCGCATCACTCCATGGGTTTATCAATGTCATTGCAATCGTGACACACCAACCTATCTGGCCCAGTTCAGGCCCAGTTATGAGTTATTAACTTGGCTGAGACTTGGCCCAGATATGGTCTGTGTTTGGCCCTTGTCTGGAAGCCAGATTTGGTCCAGTCATGTACCGTAATTCACTGCGGCATGTGGGCCAAGCAAAACCTGATTGTGTGGGCCAGAGCTGGGCCAGAGAAATTTTGCTATGTGGGTACATATACAGACACACACACACACACTGCCAATAAGAAAGTAAAGATGGTGGCAGTGTGTAAAGGCATAGATAATACTTCCCACAGGTGTTCATTACAGTGTTGTCATCAGCAGGGAATCTGAAGAGAGACTCAGAGTGAGGAAAGGTCTCAGAGCATTTAACATATCATAATATTTTATCCTAGGGACACACACTCTCTATACACACACTCTCTATACACACACACACACACACACACACACATGAAACTGTGTGAAATAAGTCGTCTGCTCAGTGTGTGATGATAAAGCCTGCTCATAACATGCCACATGACACATCCTCTTGGTTATGTTAATATATACAGGCGTTATGGATGAGTGATGATGAGGTGTGTTTCTGTCTGTTGATCTGAGGTGACTGAAGCTGATTGTTTCCTCTGTTTCCAGATCATTCTGTGGTCAATCAGGTGAACATCGAAGACTTAAAGCAGATGAAGGTAAATGTTCTGAGTCAGTTCATCAGGTCTCACTGATTTGTTTGACGGTCTGCGTCCGACTCTTCAACAGTGTGTGTTATTTTAATCATCAGACCTTCATTAAACTGCTGAAGAAGCAGCAGAAGGAGCTGAACACGCTAAAGAAACGTCACGCTAAGGTCTGCAGGTCACGCCTGACACGCTTCTGTCCACATGTCTAACACTGATTCAATAACATTAGGAGATAATTAAACATGATCTGCTTGCAGGAACACAACGCCATGCAGAAATCCCACTGCACACAGGTGGACAAACTGGTGGCTCAGCACGACAAGGAGAAGAACACCCTGGAGAAACTGCTGGAGAAGGCCATCAAGAAGAGAGGGTGAGTCCAGCGAAGCAATCAGACTGAGTCAGTCATTCTGTCTGATCTAAATCAGTCTGAATCAGTCATTCTGTCTGATCTAAATCACTCTGAATCAGTCAATCTGTCTGATCTAAATCACTCTGAATCAGTCATTCTGTCTGATCTAAATCACTCTGAATCAGTCATTCTGTCTGATCTAAATCAGTCTAAATCAGTCATTCTGTCTGATCTAAATCAGTCTAAATCAGTCATTCTGTCTGATCTAAATCACTCTGAATCAGTCATTCTGTCTGATCTAAATCACTCTGAATCAGTCAATCTGTCTGATCTAAATCACTCTGAATCAGTCATTCTGTCTGATCTAAATCAGTCTAAATCAGTCATTCTGTCTGATCTAAATCACTCTGAATCAGTCAATCTGTCTGATCTAAATCACTCTGAATCAGTCAATCTGTCTGATCTAAATCAGTCTAAATCAGTCATTCTGTCTGATCTAAATCACTCTGAATCAGTCAATCTGTCTGATCTAAATCACTCTGAATCAGTCAATCTGTCTGATCTAAATCACTCTGAATCAGACAATCTGTCTGATCTAAATCACTCTGAATCAGTCATTTTGTCTGATCTAAATCACTCTGAATCAGTCAATCTGTCTGATCTAAATCACTCTGAATCAGTCAATCTGTCTGATCTAAATCATTCTGAATCAGTCAATCTGTCTGATCTAAATCACTCTGAATCAGTCATTTTGTCTGATCTAAATCACTCTGAATCAGTCAATCTGTCTGATCTAAATCACTCTGAATCAGTCAATCTGTCTGATCTAAATCACTCTGAATCAGTCATTCTGTCTGATCTGAATCACTCTGAATTAGTCATTCCTTCTGATCTAAATCACTCTGAATCAGTCATTCTGTCTGATCTAAATCAGTCTAAATCAGTCATTCTGTCGGATCTAAATCACTCTGAATCAGTCAATCTGTCTGATCTAAATCACTCTGAATCAGTCAATCTGTCTGATCTAAATCAGTCTAAATCAGTCATTCTGTCTGATCTAAATCAGTCTAAATCAGTCATTCTGTCTGATCTAAATCACTCTGAATCAGACAATCTGTCTGATCTAAATCACTCTGAATCAGTCATTTTGTCTGATCTAAATCACTCTGAATCAGTCAATCTGTCTGATCTAAATCACTCTGAATCAGTCAATCTGTCTGATCTAAATCATTCTGAATCAGTCAATCTGTCTGATCTAAATCACTCTGAATCAGTCATTTTGTCTGATCTAAATCACTCTGAATCAGTCAATCTGTCTGATCTAAATCACTCTGAATCAGTCAATCTGTCTGATCTAAATCACTCTGAATCAGTCATTCTGTCTGATCTGAATCACTCTGAATTAGTCATTCCTTCTGATCTAAATCACTCTGAATCAGTCAATCTGTCTGATCTAAATCACTCTGAATCAGTCATTCTGTCTGATCTGAATCACTCTGAATTAGTCATTCCTTCTGATCTAAAACACTCTGAATCAGTCAATCTGTCTGATCTAAATCATTCTGAATCAGTCAATCTGTCTGATGTAAATCACTCTGAATCAGTCAATCTGTCTGATCTAAATCATTCTGAATCAGTCATTCTGTCTGATCTTTATCACTCTGAATCAGTCATTCTGTCTGATCTAAATCACTCTGAATCAGTCAATCTGTCTGATCTAAATCACTCTGAATCAGTCAATCTGTCTGATGTAAATCACTCTGAATCAGTCAATCTGTCTGATCTAAATCATTCTGAATCAGTCATTCTGTCTGATCTTTATCACTCTGAATCAGTCATTCTGTCTGATCTAAATCACTCTGAATCAGTCTATCTGTCTGATGTAAATTACTCTGGATCAGTCAATCTGTCTGATCTTTATCAGTGTGAATCAGTCATTCTGTCTGATCTAAATCACTCTGAATCAGTCAATCTGTCTGATCTAAATCACTCCGAATCAGTCAATCTGTCTGATCTAAATCACTCTGAATCAGTCAATCTGTCTGATCTAAATCACTCTGAATCAGTCAATCTGTCTGATCTAAATCATTCTGAATCAGTCATTCTGTCTGATCTTTATCACTCTGAATAAGTCATTCTGTCTGATCTAAATCACTCTGAATCAGTCAATCTGTCTGATCTAAATCACTCTGAATCAGTCAATCTATCTGATCTAAATCCCTCTGAATCAGTCAATCTTTCTGATCTAAATCACTCTGGATCAGTCAATCTGTCTGATCTTTATCAGTGTGAATCAGTCATTCTGTCTGATCTAAATCACTCTGAATCAGTCAATCTGTCTGATCTAAATCACTCCGAATCAGTCAATCTGTCTGATCTAAATCACTCTGAATCAGTCAATCTGTCTGATCTAAATCACTCTGAATCAGTCAATCTGTCTGATCTAAATAATTCTGAATCAGTTAATCTGTCTGATCTTTATCACTCTGAATCAGTCATTCTGTCTGATCTAAATCACTCTGAATCAGTCAATCTGTCTGATCTAAATCACTCCGAATCAGTCATTCTGTCTGATCTAAATAATTCTGAATCAGTCAATCTATCTGATCTAAATCACTCTGAATCAGTCATTCTGTCTGATCTAAAATACTCTGAATCAGTCAATCTGTCTGATCTAAATCACTCTGAATCAGTCAATCTGTCTGATCTAAAACACTCTGAATCAGTCAATCTGTCTGATCTAAAACACTCTGAATCAGTCAATCTGTCTGATCTAAATCACTCTGAATCAGTCATTCTGTCTGATCTAAATCACTCTGAATCAGTCAATCTGTCTGATCTAAATCACTCTGAATCAGTCAATCTGTCTGATCTAAATCAGTCTAAATCAGTCATTCTGTCTGATCTAAATCAGTCTAAATCAGTCATTCTGTCTGATCTAAATCACTCTGAATCAGACAATCTGTCTGATCTAAATCACTCTGAATCAGTCATTCTGTCTGATCTAAATCACTCTGAATCAGTCAATCTGTCTGATCTAAATCACTCTGAATCAGTCAATCTGTCTGATCTAAATCACTCTGAATCAGTCAATCTGTCTGATCTAAATCACTCTGAATCAGTCAATCTGTCTGATCTAAATCACTCTGAATCAGTCAATCTGTCTGATCTAAATCACTCTGAATCAGTCAATCTGTCTGATCTAAATCACTCTGAATCAGTCAATCTGTCTGATCTAAATCACTCTGAATCAGTCAATCTGTCTGATCTAAATCACTCTGAATCAGTCAATCTGTCTGATCTAAATCACTCTGAATCAGTCAATCTGTCTGATCTAAATCACTCTGAATCAGTCAATCTGTCTGATCTAAATCACTCTGAATCAGTCAATCTGTCTGATCTAAATCACTCTGAATCAGTCAATCTGTCTGATCTAAATCACTCCGAATCAGTCAATCTGTCTGATCTAAATCACTCTGAATCAGTCAATCTGTCTGATCTAAATCACTCTGAATCAGTCAATCTGTCTGATCTAAATAATTCTGAATCAGTTAATCTGTCTGATCTTTATCACTCTGAATCAGTCATTCTGTCTGATCTAAATCACTCTGAATCAGTCAATCTGTCTGATCTAAATCACTCCGAATCAGTCATTCTGTCTGATCTAAATAATTCTGAATCAGTCAATCTATCTGATCTAAATCACTCTGAATCAGTCATTCTGTCTGATCTAAAATACTCTGAATCAGTCAATCTTTCTGATCTAAATCACTCTGAATCAGTCAATCTGTTTGATCTAAAACACTCTGAATCAGTCAATCTGTCTGATCTAAAACACTCTAAATCAGTCAATCTGTCTGATCTAAATCACTCTGAATCAGTCATTCTGTCTGATCTAAATCACTCTGAATCAGTCAATCTGTCTGATCTAAATCACTCTGAATCAGTCAATCTGTCTGATCTTTATCACTCTGAATCAGTCAATCTGTCTGATCTAAATCACTCTGAATCAGTCAATCTGTCTGATCTAAATCACTCTGAATCAGTCATTCTGTCTGATCTAAATCACTCTGAATCAGTCATTCTGTCTGATCTAAATCACTCTGAATCAGTCAATCTGTCTGATCTAAATCACTCTGAATCAGTCAATCTGTCTGATCTAAATCACTCTGAATCAGTCAATCTGTTTGATCTAAATCACTCTGAATCAGTCAATCTGTCTGATCTAAATCATTCTGAGTCAGTCAATCTGTCTGATCTAAATCATTCTGAATCAGTCATTTTGTCTGATCTAAATCACTCTGAATCAGTCAATCTCTCTGATTTAAATCACTCTGAATTAGTCAATCTGTCTGATCTATATCACTCTGAATCAGTCATTCTGTCTGATCTAAATCACTCTGATTCTGTGGTTCTGTATGATCTGAATGCCTCTTCTCACTATGCTGTCCTGACGGGTTTGTTGTGTTCAGAGAGACTAACTGCTCTGAGTTGAAGAAGGAGACGGCGGTGAAAATTGAAACTCT